AAGATAATAGTAGATAGAAGTTTTAGCAGATGAGTCTGTGAGCTTAGGAATTGCCAAAAGAGGTTTTGAATTATTTCTAGTTCTAAAAAGTAATGTAAAGCTAGAAAATGCCAACCTATTAAAAATTATACCTTGTGAATATTTATGCTGGAAAAATCATTCATGTAAGACAATAACATTTGTGATATTATAAATTATAATAATACTGTCAATTTAAAGTGATATAATAAGAATTCACATAAATTGTTGTGCTCTGAAAGTTCAAAAAGTCCTGTAGCACATTAGGAATAAACACCTGTCTCTTGGTTATGAAGCAGTAAAAGTTAGACGTCAAAATGTATTTCGCCAGTGCCTACATCAGAGCCTCCACTGCTTCCTCTTCTACACAGATTTGCAGCTGAGAATTCCAAGATGAGGTTATATGGGACAGAGATCTTTAGCTCATCTCTCAGTAGACTGGAAATTTTGGTGTTTCATCTGAGGTCTGACACAACCTGTCTTTCTCAGAGGTCATTCCTAAAGGAAAGACTAATATTTCTTCCATTCTCAAACAATGGTAAACAAGCAGCATCTACTGAGAGCCGACCGCGGGCGGCGGGCGTAGCTGCTGCCTGAGCGCCAGCGCGGGCTGGTGGGCCCCGCACCATTCCTGCTCCTCACCCGCCGCGCCCTCGGACATGGTGGCCCCCGGCTCTGTGACCAGCCGGCTGGGCACGGTGTTCCCCTTCCTGCTGGTCCTGGTGGAACTGCAGTACGAAGGTGCTGAATGTGGAGTAAATGCAGATGTTGAGAAACATCTTGAATTGGGCAAGAAATTACTTGCAGCTGGACAGCTAGCTGATGCTTTATCTCAATTTCTTGCCGCAGTAGATGGTGATCCTGATAACTATATTGCATACTATCAAAGAGCTACAGTCTTTCTAGCTATGGGAAAATCGAAAGCAGCACTTCCTGATTTAACTAAAGTGATTGAATTGAAGATGGATTTCACTGCAGCAAGATTACAGAGAGGTCACTTATTACTTAAACAAGGAAAACTTGATGAAGCAGAAGATGATTTTTAAAAAGTGCTCAAATCTAATCCAAGTGAAAATGAAGAAAAGGAAGCCCAGTCACAACTTCTCAAGTCTGATGAAATGCAACGTTTGCGTTCGCAAGCACTCGAGGCTTTTGAAAGTGCAGATTATACTGCTGCTATAACCTTCCTTGATAAGATTTTAGAGGTTTGTGTTTGGGATGCAGAACTACGGGAACTTCGAGCTGAATGTTTTATAAAAGAAGGAGAACCTAGGAAAGCTATAAGTGACTTAAAAGCCACATCAAAACTGAAGAATGATAATACTGAAGCGTTTTATAAAATCAGCACACTGTACTACCAACTAGGAGACCATGAATTATCCCTCAGTGAAGTTCGTGAATGTCTAAAACTTGATCAGGATCATAAAAGGTGTTTTGCACACTATAAACAAGTAAAAAAACTTAATAAGCTGATTGAATCAGCTGAAGAGCTCATCAGAGATGGCAGATACACAGATGCAACCAGCAAATATGAATCTGTCATGAAAACAGAGCCCAGCATTGCTGAATACACAGTTCGTTCAAAAGAAAGGATCTGTCACTGCTTTTCTAAGGATGAGAAGCCTGTTGAAGCCATTAGAGTATGTTCTGAAGTTTTACAGATAGAACCTGACAATGTGAATGCACTAAAAGATCGAGCAGAGGCCTATTTAATAGAAGAAATGTATGATGAAGCTATTCAAGATTATGAAGCTGCTCAGGAACACAATGAAAATGATCAGCAGATTCGGGTAGGTCTAGAAAAAGCACAGAGACTATTGAAACAGTCACAGAAACGAGATTATTATAAAATCTTGGGAGTAAAAAGGAATGCCAAAAAGCAAGAAATCATTAAGGCATATAGAAAATTAGCACTGCAGTGGCACCCAGATAACTTCCAAAATGAAGAAGAAAAGAAAAAGGCTGAGAAAAAGTTCATTGACATAGCAGCTGCTAAAGAAGTTCTCTCTGATCCAGAAATGAGGAAGAAGTTTGATGATGGAGAAGATCCCCTAGATGCAGAGAGCCAACAAGGAGGTGGTGGAAACCCTTTTCTCAGAAGCTGGAACTCATGGCAAGGGTTCAATCCCTTCAGCTCAGGCGGACCATTTAGATTTAAATTCCACTTCAATTAAACCAACTGTTTTTCTGCTCTTCCTTAATTTTTTTTTTTTAAAGATTAAAAAAAATCTTGTTCTGGGATCCTAATGAAAAAAAAAAAAAAAAACAAGCAGCATCTAGATGAAACTTTTTTTATGTTTCTAGCCCTCATATTCAAAGGTCAGAGGAACCTGGGTTGCTGTTTACACAGCATCCATTGCAAACAAATCTAAAGGCTCTCACATGTACCCCCAAATAGATATGGTCTTACATAAAATAACTGAACTAACAAAACTAATGTTATTTGTGCATGGACATATAAATTTTGAGATCTGTCTGATGATTCAGCCTCAAGTAATGATAATCCATTAGCAATGAGTTTTGACGTATAAATACTTTGGTTGTGAGAAGAAAATATGGAGAGGGTTGTGGGATATCTTGTCCTAGAAACAAAGCCAGGAAGATAGCACTGGTGGGAGGTAAGAAGAAAGCAGAAGAGAAAATGAGGAAGAAAAGAAAAAAAAAAAAAAACTAATGACAGATGGGGTTGTTTTGATTGATTTGGAGGTAGGGTTTCTCCAAGTTGCTTAGGGCCTTGCTAAGTTGCTGAGTCTGACCTTGAACACGTGATCTTCCTATCTCCCCTCAGCCTCCCAATCTGTTGTGATTACATTTGTGCCCAAAGATGCCAGGCTATCAGTTGTTTAAGTATTGAAAAAAACAATCTAGAGTAGCCACCATTATAGTATGTTACAGAATAGATTCAGTACCTCAAAGATCTCCACTTTTTACCCTTTCCTAGTTATCCTGAGACTTTGGAAATCATAAATCTTGTTATTGTCTGTTGTTTAGCCTCATCCAGAGTGCCATATACTCAGAATAATATAGATGTATCATTTTATCCTAGCTATTTCCTAATCAAAATGTGTTTAAGATACCTCCTCAACTTTCCATGTTTGTTTGCTTATTAATATTTTATGAATCATGTTTCAATTTATTGATGAGTTCATTTTTGATTAATAATATGTAAATACGTACTGAAGGGTAATTATTGCTTTCTGTTCTTGCAAAATATGAATAAATAAAGTTACATTGTGTGTGTATGTGTGTGTGTGTGTGTGTGTGTGAGAGAGAGAGAGAGAGAGAGAGGGAGAGAAAGAAAGAAAGAGAGAGAGAGAGAGAGAGAGAGAGAGAGAGAGAGAGAGAGATACTGGAGATTAAACCTGAATTATCATGCTTGTTAGCTAAGTCCCCGATCAAGGAGCCACATTCCCAATCAAAAAAAATCATCAACCTTTGAATGCAGAATTTGTGTGGAATCCAGCTTTCAACTCCAATAAATAAATACCTAGTATGTAGTCTGTAGATATATGGTAAGACCGCAGCTTTGAAAGAGATTGCCAAACTCTCTTTCTAGGTTGGCTGTACAACTTTGTGATCCTCTTAGCCATAAATAAGAGTTGCTCTTGTTTCTCTTCTTTGCCTAACACTTTGTATTATCAGATTTTGGAATTTCAGCCATGCTTATGGGTGCATTACTTGCAATTCAGTGTGATCCATGTTTGTCATCTATATTTGTTTGTATATCTCCACAGATCATTCATTAATTAAAAAAAAAATAGGTAAAACTGACATACAATGAACTACACACACTGAATTATCAATACATTGAGTTTTTATATATTTACATCTACATAAAAGCATCAGCACAATCAAGACAGTGAACATTTACATCACACCCAACAGGTTTCTTGTGCCCCTTTGGAAATCCTGCCTCTTCCTCCTCCATTATATAGAAACAACACAGAACAAAATTTTTATCATCATAGATGAAAGAATAATTTGAAATTTATATGAGTAGCCATATCTCTGTTCTGCATAGTGGATAAACTTTGAAAAATCTCCCTTAATTTAGTCATCTCTAAAATCATGACTCTACCTGGCTGGTGGCATAGGACTGTAATTTAGGTGGCTCAGGAGGCTGAGGCAGGAGGATGATAAGTTCAAGTCTAGCATCAGCAGCTTTGTGAGTTCCTGAGCAACTTATGAAGAGGCTGTCTCAATGTGAAAAAATAAAGAGCTACAGATTGGCTTAGTAGTTAAGTAACTGTAGGCTGATCACTGATAGAAAATTAATATAAAAAGTGAGAATTTCTCTAAGCAGAATTTAAGACCTTGGGGAAAGGTAATTATTAAAATATATAAAGAAACTGGAATACGGCTTGACATACAGTAGGCTTCAAATTCTTGGAGTTACTAGGCAAGATTTAAGTCAGAGATCCACAGTACATAAGGAAATGTATAGATCCCTAGTGCCTTTATTTCACCAAGAGCTGGTATTCCCTACAATTCAGTAGACTTCAATTTTTTGTTATTATTTTCTGGGTTTTTAATTTTTTGTTGTTGTTGTTATCTGTTTCTTGGAGTTTTGGATTTAAAGTCTGATAATATGTGGAGGCCATCCTCGCACGTGATTTGAGTTACCTCCCTGACTGGGTGAGAGGCGCTTAGACACAGCTGTGTCAGAGCTTTCTCCACAATTCTCCAGGTCCAAGGGCTTGTCAGTGCAGAGGCATATCTGGCCACTGCCCCAAAGACCCAATCATCGCCCCTTACCTTGGGATGTTGCCCCCTTTAACCTTCATTGGATGGGATTTTCCCTGGAATTTTTGTTCTCCAATAAAAAAAAAATTCACTCCTTGGAGTGTTCTTGCTCTCTCGCTCTCTTGCTAGCCTCTTCAGTAAACCTCGCTACCGCATTAGGTGCCTGGAGGTGGGAGCTAGGAGAAACCATCCCAGAGCTGGTTCTAAAGGTAATTAGAGTCTTGTCTCTTTAATTTAAAACTCCCTAGTGTTTACTCATGAATAAAACCTTCTTACATGAAGCTAGTGCTGGTCGAATGGCAGAGGTGGCACCCAACATGGGGCTCATATGTTAAATTGACAAGGTTGAGTTAGGAATCGCACTATAGAAATGCAGAATTTTTGACAAATTTTAGGATCACAGAAGTACTAGGCAGTTTTTGAAGTAAAGGGACGTTAAAAAATTTTTACTGATGGGAAATTCAACTTCTACCAATAAAGACATATATTTGACTATTTTAGACACAATAATTAATCAGAAGGGAAAGCAAGTTAAAAAGATTCAGTTGCTACAATTCTTAGAGATTGTAGGTGAATTTTGCCCTTGGTTTTGTGATCAAGATTCACCAAATTTACATACATGGGTCAAATTAGGAAGAAAAGAACATAAAATTTGCCTTTCTGATGAATTGCCTGGGAACTTTGAGAATATTCAAAAGGTTTGGACTGCATTAAAGATCTGTCTTTTTGATTATATGGGTCATAGTCCATGCCCCCCCCCCAAATCTATTGAAAGGTATTCAGAGAGCCATTAAGCCTATTCAAATGGAAAAATTGCCTGAGGCTAAGGAAATATCTTTTCCTCTAAGCCTGTTAAAAACTAAAACAAATTATACTCAAACAAAAAACCTCAGGGCAAAACTGAAAGTAAAAAACTTAGCCTTGCCTGAACCAAACTATAGTGGTCCAGAGTAAGACCATAGAGAGGAAAACCATAGAGAGTAGGTCTCCAGGGGGATAGAAGGTCCTTCTCTCAGAGAAGAGAATCGAGAGGAGATATAGATTCATAGAGATATAGAAAGTCCTCCTCCACAGGACTTACAAGCTCAAATTCAACATGAAGACAGGGAAGAATCTACAGAAAAATCGCAGTCTGAGGAAGATGAGCCAGACAATGAAGTCCAGGATTTACCACAGAATTTTAACAGGTTGTGCTTAAGGGCACCTGCCCCAGCCATTTGAATTTGGCCATTGTCTCTTAAAAGGACAAATTTTAACAGATACTCCGAGCTGGCGATGACTTTTCTTACTTAGTTCCAGCAGGGGATTGGAAAGGCACAGGAATCTGGGGAAGATACTAGCAAATTTCAACTCTTTCCAGTTTTTGAATAGGTTTAATGATCAGGACCAGTGTGTAATTCCTTTTAAAACTATTAAAGAGTTAAAAAATGCCTGCGAGGTCTATTGTCCAAATTCATCATTTGTGCAGAGCTAGCTTGAGACTATCTGCTCTCAACTGCTCCCAGGGAGTGACTGGATTTCCTTCGCTAGACCTTGTTTGAGTGGGGGGGAGTTTTTACTCTGGTGGTCATATTGGACAGACTTTTGTTAGGAGCAGGCAGAAAGGAATTGGAGGCAAGATTTTCAAACACCCGTGGACATGTTTTTAGGAACGGGTGAATTCATTGATTTTGAAAGGCAGCTAAATTATGAATTTGCAGCGTATGATCAAATTACAGCCTGTGCAAAGCATGCCTGGAGACAGATTGCCTCCAGTGACCAATCTAGCTTAGTTCTGAGTAAGGTTAAGCAAGGTGCCAATGAACTTTATTCTGATTTCGTAGTGTGACTCTATCACACTGCAAACCATTCCATTGGTGATCCAGGTACTTGTGAGTTTATTGTTAAGCAACTGGCATTTGAAAATGCAAATAAATATTGTCAAGATATTCTCATACCCCACAGAAAAAAGGGTTTTCTGAGTTTATTCAGAGTTTATACGGGAGCAGATCTCACATCTGTGAGACAGTTTCAGAGTTTATTTGCTTTTGTTCTGATATCTATCCAGCCCATTTACAAACAATTACTCTCACAGCAGCTTTAAAACAAACTCTGCAACCCCAAGAATTAGTATGCAGAACCCGCAGGAGATGCTTCCATTGTGGGAGGAACAGCCTTTACATGTGAAATTGTAATGCCCATAATTTTAAGTCCAATCCCTCTATCTGTTGGTAATAGATATTACAAAGTTGAAGACCATGTGGCAGGCCAAGATGGGGTTGATCAGTTCGCCTTCTGGCCTCCACTTCTGCTAGTAGGGAGTAAAAAATCTTCTGGTCAGCCAATCCCCAGGCCAGAAATACAGGGGAATCAGAAGAAAGGTTGTGCAATTTAACATCATCACAGCCGACCATAGGGTGTGATGACGTTAAATTTCTACTGGAGCAGATCTCATGTCTGTGAGACAGTTT